TCTTACTAAGAACTATGAATGTATTGAAAGGAATTGATAAATGGCCGATAAATGGAATATGGCGTGGAATGTGGGAATGGAACTTCCAAATGGATAGCCATTAGAAGGGAAGTTGCAGTAATTGACTTAAAAAATCTCCGCCTCTAAATAACAATTGCAATAATATACATCAGTTTAGTTACTAAACGTTTTTAGACACTGAAGATTTTTTGGAGTTGGAGATTACATTTTTAAATTTTGTGTTATTTTTTAAAGGTAAAGTCAGTACTCTGACGCACCCAAAAGTTGGGAACACCACACCGTTGCCGGGCATGAGATAGAATAATGTGTCGGAGATCTAAATCAATTTGCTAATAACGTTGATGACAGCAATTGGTGGGTGTATCGATTGTGTATCGCAGCCCTTTCATTTCCGTGTATCTTCATTATGTTGCTCTCCAAAAAGGCAAACAAGCCCAGGCCCATTCTGTCCCTGGCCATCCTGGACAGGCTCCCGTCTCTCGTCTCCTGGGTCCACGGGCAACGTTGGCAGCTTTTATGATGACGTTCCAATGACGGAGGCTGGCTCCTCTGATGGACATGAAACTGTAATGGAATTCAATAAAAGCTGAGAGTGCAGAAACCGTTTGATACGGCATTCAATCGAAGAGAGGTTGCCCCTGCCTCTGGCCCTGGACCTGGCCTGGTCCTGGCCTGGACCTGGACCTGGCCCTGGACAGGGGTATTAAGTCTGGTTGGGCGTTTGGATGCTTCACTCCGCATCGAAGCTCATCAGCCGGACACTTCTCGGGCTCATTTGGTAATTTTCTGCAATATCGGCGAGTGGCCCTGGTCCTCGTCCGGGCATCCACGGACACGGACACGACCATGAGGCGAGCAAAACATTTAACATGCGGCAATATTTATTGCCATGTGACACATGAAGTCCTCACCAGCTAGCGGGCATATTCGCTAAGTGGAAGAGCGTCACAGGCGAGGACACTCGTGCGAGTAGGACTTGGCCAATGGTTAACCTAGTAGGTGACTGGCTTTATGTGGGACATTCAATCAAATAAAAGAGTAGCATGGACGGACGGCCGGTCGCTTTCTTAACTACGGTCTCCCCACGAGGCCCAGTGTAATGGTCACCCTAATTGACTTTGCTAAAACCAAGCCAAAACCAAGCCCAAATCAAGCCAAAATCAATCCAATTGCAGTCGAAGCAAATGAGAATTGTACGAGCAGTGCAGTGCTACATTCAGTCTACAGTCCGTCCCCATTCCCATTCCCAGCCCCATCCGCAAATCCTCCGCTATGGCGACACCAAATCGTTTCCGCTGCAGGCTGTCCGGCTAACGACTATATGGAGTGCCGACTATCTACCCAATCCGATTATCCACGCAGGTCACCGTGGATGCTGCCCAATGCTGCTCATATACAAAATCGAGCTGCCCCTCCAGCTATATCCCCTCTAAAGCCAGAGCCAGGAGTTGATGGATTGTCCAAGTTATTTGCCTGTTTGCTGCCAAACGGCATTGACTCGCCTCGCTCCGACTCTGCGATTAGCCCGGGTGCGAATGAGGCGATGCCCCTGGGTGCAGCTCCAGTGAGGCACTGGCACCGCACCGCGCTTTCCACTGCGTGAGGCAGCGTCCTCTGTGGGCCGCCGGATATTTGAGCCAGTCGAATGGGGAATGGACCACAGCCAGAGATGGAGTCATCACTTTTGTGGTTCACCACCTCCGGGATTGGCCGCTGATGAGTTAAGGGCATTTACCAGTCGGATCGGTCCGGGCCGGGCACCCAGCCAGTTCCACCCACCGCTTTCCTCATTTTTAACGGTCTTTTCGTAGCACCCATGGCACAGTCGTAGCATAGAGCAACTTGCTTTTATTGCATTTACTTTGGCAGAGTCATCCGATCTGCTGCCGTCACTGTCGCCGCTGCCGTTGCCGTAGCAGTTGCCGGGTGATGTCCAGCCCGGATGTCGTTTTCAATAAAGGCATTGGGGCTGGGCGTTAAGCTGTACAGTGTACACATATGTACGCATACTCGTACGCATACGAGTATGTGGATGACTCTGCTTGCCACTTTAATTAATTTCTTTAAGTTCATTAACGTTTGACTTGTTGGGACGAGCGACAGAGCAACAGAGAAGCAGAGCGTCAGACAGGGAATGGGTGGAGTGGAGATGCCAGATGGGAAATGGGGATGGGCCTGAAGCATGGGATATTGAAAGGTTCTCTCGCAACTTTGATGACATTGTCAGCCAGACAATTTCTTTTCTTTCCACCCCCAGTCGTTCAGTCGTTGAGTCGTTCGGTGCTTGCAGCCAGAAGGACATTTCTTTACTAGCGGAATGCCAGATTAAAGTCTTCGCCGGAAAGGAAACTTACCTTATCCATGGGAACCCATATTAAGCAAATGGGTTAAGGAGCTCTTATCTAGATAGTTGGAAAGCGCCAAGAACAAGAAAGGCTCCTGCAGTTAAAGTTCGTTTAAAAGTATGTTAAAAAAGAATGAATTCGGATCGGATATCTAATCATTCCCTAATTGGAGAAAAGGGAGTATAAAAAGAGTACCCCAAAGTCGGATTTCTCGAAGATTTCTTCTTTTGTGGGCCAGTGTTGTTGATAGCTTGGCAAGTGGTTCCCGAGCCACCCAACCATCGCCTCATCCTTAGTTCGTTCGCGTTCCTATTCATTTTTCAATGCCATCTGCCATCTGCCTCTGCCCCACCCGAGTCTTCTCTCCTTCTCTGACGTTTTACCGACGCCGACGCCTCTGGCGGGGTTCATTTTTTGGCAGCTCATGAATATTCATAGACATGAGCGGCCAAAGGACCGCGTGGCTATCTGAGCGAGTCAGACCTGAGCGGGGCAGAGGCTGCGGAAAGACTAACCCACAGAGTGGTCCAGTGGGTTGCCTTGAGTTCCTGATTCACGGAGAAGAGCTCTAGAGAGGCTTACATATTGATGTCCAAATGGTTTATTGACCGCGAAGACAGCAGGCGATAAAGTGGTTTTCAGGAGAGACAGAACTTCGATCAGCGACTGTTTGACGAATCTGCTTTGGCAAGCCATGCTTTGAAACCGATGAGGTTGCATCCTTTACGTGGGCTCCCTATTGTTTTTTTTCTGCTCTGGATCATTTGGTCCCGTCATCTCCTTTGGCTCGCTTGGATCCTTAGGCTTCTTAGAATCCTTGGGTTCCTTGGGCATGGCAAAGCGCTTGGTCCAGAAGCGAGCGACCTTGTCGTGCTCCTGGCGATTGGTCTTGTATTGGTCGGCAATGCACGTAACCAGCGGGTCATCTGCATTGCACTCGCCCAGTAGCAGCCAGATCGAGAGCAGCACCTTGGACACATTCATCACCGGTGACCAGCGCTCGTTCAGCACATCCAGACAGATGGCCCCCACGCTGTCCACGTTGCAGTGGTAGATGAAGGTCGTGAAGCGGATACGCGGCGGCCGGAAGGGATAGTTCAGGGGAAAGCGGATGTCCAGCTTGAAGTGGCCGCCCTCGTAGACGGAACCGGTGGGACCGATCACGGTGGCCGTCCAGTGGAGCAGCCTGTCCATGCACATATCGGCACTGCAGTTGGGCGGCGGATTCTTGCGGATCTCGTTCAGCTCCCGTCGCACCCGGAACGCACAGGTGCTGACCGGAGTGGCAGAGTCCGCCCCCACTGGGCTGCATCCCCTTTGTTGACCGCTGGTGCTGGGAACGTTGTCGTCGTCCAGAGTGTCCAGTGGGTCCATTGTGTCGCAGGAACACTCAACCACGGCTCGAGCACCTGCGGTTGTTTCTGTGCTTGCGGCTGTGGTTGAGGTTGCAGTTGCAGTTGCAGGTTCAGTATCAGTATCAGTTGAATTTGGCGTTGGCGTTGATGTTGGATTGGAATTTGGGGTCGAAGCTATGTCAGGTGTGGCTGTGATGCCCCGATGGGAAGACATGACGTCTGATGTAAGCCCAATCAATTCTAGTTTTTCTCTTAAATTTTGTTCATACTATTTCAAAAATGTTATGTGTCTACTATTTGAATAGAGAGCATATAGTTATTAACATATGTACACATATGTTTCATAGAGTTTTCCCTTCCCACCTGTCAGTAGCTTCGAGTCGTTGGACGTCAGGTAGGAAGCCCCAACAGGATCTGGACTCTCAAGCTGGCAGCTCGAACTCTATTCCAAGTCGCTGCTCCTCCTGGCCAGATATTTGTACAGACCGGAGACAGATGTGTATATGGTTGCCTGATTGGCAGTAATAAAGCTCCTTTTTTTTGCATATTGATATTTCACATTGAAATCCGTAGATCCTTTGATATCTATAGGTTTGGAAGAAGTATCCCTTCCCCCTCTCTTCACTCTCTTTTGTACATAATTTCCATTCGTTTAGCTCTGGAATTCAATTGGGTTTCGTATTTTTTCCGTTTTTGGTAAATTAGAAGGCCGGGACCGAGACCGGGACCGGGACCGAGACTGGGACCGGGCAGAGTAGATCTAAGGAAAGCGACACTCAATTTGCGAAATGCAATAAATTGAATGAAAAGTGTGAAAATGAAGAGGAGTCATCAACATCAGCGTCAGCGTCAACATCAGCATCAGCATCGGTGGCAAGAGCACTAACGACCAGGCGGAGAGGAGACGAGCGCTAAGAAAAGCCAGAAAATGTAAATGAAAGTTCAAGAAAATTTAATAATAAAAACATCAGCATAAAGTGAAACGCATAAAATCCAATGAAATGTAAAAGGGAGCCAACGGGCAGGCGCCTGCCTGACCTCCTCCGTTACGTGTCCTTGTGCTTGTCCTGCTTTAGTCCGGGTTCTCTCTACGTCCTGGTCCTGGTTCGGGTCTGGGTCCTTCTCCTGTTGCTGTGGATACGGAGTACGGATACGGATGCGAATGCTAGTCTCGTGTGTGTACAAAATAGCGTCGGGTAATCACATTGCGCTGCTCTGGCAGTGTCCTGCAACCGGCAGGATATGCTCAATTGAACATGTTGATTGCTGACAGAGAGAACCACCACCCAGCAACCAGCAACCAGCAGCAGCTAGCAGCCAGAACCACCTTCCATTTCCCTCCACTGCAAATGAGGAGTCAATTGAAAATCAAGTTACAGCTTGCTTTAATGGAATTAGTTCTCCAGAGCATCAACAGCATCAGCATCAGCACCAGAAGAAGGAGCAAGAGCAGGAGCAGCAGCAGGAGAAGCATCAGACGAGATGCAAAAGACGCCGAGGCGAGGGCAATACATCTGTGCAAAGCATTCCTGGCCCCGGCTTTATAATAAAACTCCGGAACTTCCACTTACTCACCTTTGTGGCAGCAACGGTGGCTTTGTGTTTGAGTGAGTGGGCGAGTCGAGTCAGTGAGTCGAGGGCTTGAGTGGGGCACACCTAGGCAAACACTTAGATGCAGCTCAATTGGAGCAAAGGAGCGTTGAAAAGTGTGTAAATGAAATTAGAGAGTTGCAGCTGCCACGCCCGCCCCAACGCCCAACCCAACGCCGACAACCTCTGAGAAGCACCGCCGCAACACGCACAATCCTTGGGAACGCCCTCCCCAACACCCCCAATCCGCTAACGCTGTTACGCAGCCCTCCAACTCAATATCGCAGAATCCACATCACCATAAACACAATTTTAGACCCCCTCCGCACAGTGTCCCTGATACGATTCAAGATAAGGCAGCAAATGGATACCCATGGTCCCACCATGTGGAAGTGAAACCTGTAGAGCATATACACTTTGCTAGCTTTAAACTGATCAAGTCTGTGTACCGATCTACTTACATACTCGTATAGCCTTCATTTTTGCCAACTGTTCAGGATCCAAGGAACCAGGATAGTACATATTTCCAGGCAGTTGACGGCATAATCTTACGATTATCCGAGCCACAGAATCTGCTCCAGCCTTTTTCGATTCACTTTCTCAAGTTAGTGCAACGATTAAAAGTTCTAAAAATTCGACTCAATTAAATAAATATATGTATATATTTATGAATAGCGTGACCATACAGTTGGTAGAGACTTTGTAAAATACTATAAGAATACCAATCAATTCGAGCTTGAGAGATTTCATTGATCTGGTAGCACTTCCGCCATCGCGGCTATCGATATACATTTGCAAATGTTTTTTACATTGTTACAATAGAAAGAGAAAGATGGCAAACATCCCTAAAAGGAGCTTCATCTTGGAGCAGCTTCGAAAATTGACGATCGACCCGACCAGTACCAGGACGTGGGTTCCGCATAATGCTTACGTGGAATTCCTGCACACGCAGGGGATATTATCCAAGACGAAGTCGTCATGACGGCATTCCGAGATGCTATTCAGGATGAGGAGAATGCTATTCTCTTCAAAGGAGCCACTGTGCTCGAAGTGGGCTGCGGCAGTGCCATTCTCTCCATGTGGGTGGCCAAGCAAGGAGCCGCTCGCGTCTTTGCCGTGGACGCTGGCGATGTGGCGCAGGCCGCGCGGCAGGTGGTGCGCGAAAATCACCTCGATCATGTGATTGAAGTTATGCAGGCCAACACTGAGGAGCTGGAGCTGCCCCCAGTCGATGTCATAATATCCAAGTGGATGGGGTAGGTGCAAGGGCCATTCAGGCACGGGTATTAAGTTTTAAGCTTATTTTGTTGCTCTGCAGGGCCTGTCTGCTGTATAGCACCACCCTGGACCAAGTTCTATATCTTCTTTCCGGAGAGAGCCAAGCTCTATCTCTCGATCGCTGACGACAAGAACAGCCTAAAGCCAAAGTATTTTTGGAAAAAATTCGAGGGGATGGATATGCATCGGGCTGCTCTCGCCGTGGAGCGTACAGCGAAGGTGACCGAAGTGCTGCCCGAGCAGATGATTTCCAATCCCGAAGAAATTTGGCAAATGGATTTGCGCACGCTCAAGCGTGAGGAGGTGTGCTTTACGTCAAACTTCCGAATTTTGTCGGAGCGAAGGGACATTGCCGACCTGTTTGTCATACATTTCGACTTTGCCTTTCCTGCCGGTACCAATGCGATGACCGTCAACACCAGTCCATGGCATATGACCACGCGATGGATGTAGACTGTCCTCCACGTCGACCAACATCTGCCAGTATACGCAGGCAATCATCTATCTGGCACTATCTCAATGTGGCGTACGGCCAAGGATCTGGACATCGACATTCACTGGAGCTTCTCCAACGAGCTGGTCAGCATTAAGAATCACCAGCAAAGCTTTCTTAACGCCGGCGCAGAAGTATGTTTCAATCGATCAGTTTATAATATAACCGTATCTATAAAGGAGCACAGGACCAGACCCAGGCTGATCCAATGACCAGGACCAGGCCCAGGCTGATCCAATGACCAGGACGAGATCCAGAAAGATCTTAGCTTAGGTCTAGTACCTGTTTAATCTTAAGTTATTTCTGACGAAGGCGCTAGTTTTTTGTATGCCTAAATATTAATCATACATTCATCAAGTTGTACAGAGGTTTTTTTTAATGTACATATTTATATGTTGGAGCTTCCTGGTATTTACCCGCCAGAGCTGACAATGACTGAATAAGTGCCAGCTTGAATGGTTCAGCGAATTGGTGCATGAATCATTGAATGAGCGCATGAAGGGCACTGCTATAAAGTGTAGCCAGCGGTACTCCACTGTCGACATCGCCATCGTCATGGCCATCGCCATCGTCGACATTCTGTCCCCTGTCTGTGGGCAGAACCGAGAGGCTGACGGGTGATTGGACGCCTGTGGTCCTGGCTCCCATGTGTGCGCCAGGCGATGGCACATGGCGTTGCCTTGTGCTGTGCTGTGTTGTGCAACTGCCTTTGTAGCTTAATTGAATTTAAGTGCGTCGCACAATATGCAATATTGCAAAATGATTCATCACATATATACATGTATCCCAATACCCATACCCTCCCACATCCACATCAGCATCCTCACATCCACTTTGCAGCGTGCTCTTGGCCGAGGCAAAGTGCATTTGACTTTGTTGCACGATTTGTCGCCGTACTCGAAGCGCTGGCGAACCATCCACCATCTGCCACTTGCCCAAAACGTCAACTTCAACGGAGGCTCTTGACTGCAACTACAACTGTAAGCGGGGTCTGAGCGGGGTGGGTCCCTGGTATTATGATGTGCGCAGCTCGACAAACTTTGTTACCCGCCGCAGGAATAGTTTTATTAATTGCCACTGGCGAAGATCCATCCCAGTCAGTGTCAGTCAGAGCCGTTTCTGCTGCTGCTCTTCCGGCTAGAGTCAGACAATGGAATAAAATGTGAAATGATTCACTTAAGTATTATGGGAGTGTTTTCGAGTGGAGTGAGTTGTACCCTGATTATAATCGTATGTTTCAGTAATTCTATAATTTAATTCAATTAACAAGGACATTTTATATATTTTATACATATTATAGGTTCGTCGAAGTCTAGACGATTCTGCAGAGAGTGCCAGCGATCCATACCAAGAAGGTACCAGAATATGTGCCCCAGTCTCGATCTGCTCTTCATCTCTGCAGCTGCCGCAGAAGTCATAATTTCAGTTCCTGCACCCTGGATATATCTTCTAGTAATCGGCACCAAATAATATTGGATACACACTAATTTCGTAGATCCTAAGTGAGAGTGAAGGCTTTCATGTGGCAATCGCAACCGCTGCCAGGGCTAGGTCTGTGCTCAATTTAAGGGCATCGGGAAATGACGCTTTAAAAAGTAAAAACCCCCGTTCCCCCGTTCAGTTGCAGCACATAAACAAACAGTGCCAAACAAACAACTCCGATGTACAGTCTCACCTTCCTGCGGCCTCGTCCAGCGCTCGTCCTCCGTTCTCCGCCCCGTAGGATGGCAAATAAAAAGCACTGAGCGAAAATCGATGCGCATAAAATAGTAGCCAACAAGTGAGTGAAACAAAACAAAACAGAACTCCACAAAAAAGATGGTCCATAGCGATGAAAGAAGAAAGAACGAGGGGGAACGTTGTGAGTTGCTGCGTACACCGCAACTCTACATTTATACCCGATACTAAGTCAGTATGGCTCTCCTCCGGCAGACGCCGCTAATATTAATCGACACGACAAAGAGTGCGTGCGAGAGAGACAGAAAATCAGTCTGAGCTGACGTCACGGGCGCTGCGTAGCCATTGCAAATTGATTTGTTTCCTTTGACTATAAAAATGATCTGATCTGATCCAGATTCCGCGACCTAATAGATATGATCATTATCTATGATTCTGCGTTTTTGGTTTTCTCATATCTTTAAAATTGTGGATGCCACAGATTTTCGTCCTTTGTGGGGGCGGAAGTGGGCGGGGCGAAGTTTTGAAATATTTTTGTAGCAGTGTCATATCACAAAAGTCTGGATCCAAAACATTGTTGCTCTAGCTCTTATAGTCTTTGAGCACTAGGCGCTAATAGGGACGGACAGACGGACGGACGGACGGACAGACGGACACACAGACATAGCGCAATCGACTCGGCTATTGATGCTGATCAAGAATATATATACTTTATGGGGTCGGAAACGATTCCTTCTGGACGTTACACACATCCATTTTCACCACAAATCTAATATACCCCAATACTCACTTTGAGTATCGGGTATAAAAAAGGAAAGAGGAAACAGGAAACTTGGACCAGTCGAGTCCACATTAGGACAGGGACAAAGGCAGGATCAGGACCAGAACTACGGCTGACCCCATCCTCCATTTCAACCAAATAGTACGAAACATGTCACACAACAAATGTACGACAAAAAGTTCTGGAGAGGAGGAAAAATTGTTTGGGCCGCTTTTGGCGACCAACGCAAACACTTTTCAATGTTGTTAGTGGCCATGTCGGGTGGATCCTCCCCGGACTAGTCTGGTCTGGTCTGGCTATGGTCTGGTCTGGGCCTGGTCTATCCTGGCTCTGGCTGGTGGCTATTCCTGCAGGTGTCGCCGCGCAGACTTGCAAACTATGCACATGGCGGTAAATACTCCGAACGCCACGTGGCCGATACCGCGTCCCCTTGTCGGCTTCCGTTGACCGACTACCAGGGACCAACACCCCACCGCAACACTCCCGATTGCTGCTGGGACTCCTTAAATTTACTGTCCTCAGGCATTTCATTTGCTGTCGCGGCCATTTGGGCGGTGGCAGTGGCAGTGATAGTGACAGTGGAAGGAGGGGCGATACGCTCCTGCTGCAAACATTTCCGAAATGTGAAAAAAACAAAGTGAAACAAACGTTTCCTTAGTTAACTGAATGCAGACCAGGGCGAGAGGAAGAGAGTTATGAATGCTCAGGGCTACAACTACTACTACTACTAGAGTAAAGGGATAACATTCCATGACAAACTCCATTCGAAGAGGTGGTCAAGAAATTAACGAGTATTTTTGTCCATTCTTTTGAAAGGAATTGTATGAGTCCTACATCATTTTAGATGAAATAACTATCACAACTCGTTCTATGTATATATTGGATTGGGTTTTAGCTTGTACATAAGTGCAAATCATGGATACATATCTGAAGAAATGTTTGAATATGCCGATGCTTTCCGCCGGTTCGGAACAACTCCTTCAGCTCCTACCACAGAGGACAGTGTGTTGCATTGCGATGTAACCAAGAGAGGAGCCACAGGCAGACCTCACTAAAAGGCGACACTAAAGCTTAAGCTTTAAGTTTGATAGAACGGAACAAGACTATTAGCGGAACATTCGATTTATTCGATTGCCAGCAGCGACGACAGCATCTGGAAAATGCAATTTGCAGCGCTCGCAGTTATCAAATAAGCCGAGGCTAATAATAAATTGAATCAACTTTAATTCTCATTTAATTCTGGCGGTACTTCTCTGGAGTACGACATTGCTCCGGTCTCTCGTGTCGGCTTTCCGCTCTTCGCTTTCCTCTATACCAGTGCGAGCTGCCAGCCTCAGTGGGTGGCTTCTGGTTGTAATCGTGGAGGGCAGGGCGCACATCATTTCACGCGGAAATCAAAGACGTTTCCTTATTTTTCTTTAGGTTAAATTGCAGGAAATTACTTTCCAGTGGCAGTTCCACTCCACCTCGTCTCCAGAGTATTTCTCATCTCTTTCAGCGCACTGCAATATCTAATATTAAACTCCGGACAGGTAAGCAGTAAGAGCCACAGCCACAGCCACTGCCAAAGAGCCAGAGACGAAGACGAAGACGGAGCATCCCTTGACCGCGGATATTGAGAGGAGTAGCAAAATCTTAACTGCTACTTATCGAGCTCAGAGCTCTTTCATTTTGGCGTCGTTGCCACGGAAATTCATCAAAATCATATAAACTTGTTCCCTGTTTGCTCTCTCTACCCATCCATCCCATCCCATCCCATCAGATCCACTCATCCACCCATTTATCCATCCTTCCACCCATAGACCCCCTGCTCGGCTCCTTCGTAAATCTCATCACAAATCGCGACTGCTTGTGCTTCTGCGGCTTTGTGGCACTGGCAGCATTGCGGTCTATCGTTGGCCAAAAACTTTGCATGGACCATCTGCATGTTTTCTTACACGGTTTTCCACGATAATCTGCTTGTTGTTGTTGTTGTTGTTGTTGTTGCTGTGGCTGTTGGTTGGGCTGCCAGTGGCACTTGAGCAATATTTGATTTTCTTCTTTGATGCCATTAGTTTTTCTTTCATTCGTTTTTCATACCCTTTTCAATTATGTTGTAATACTTTTGCTAGCAGTTTGTCAGCAACAGAGTGGTCTTCTTGTTTCCTGCTTAAGATTAGGATTATATATTTCAATCTGTTATTTCTGATATATTTTGTATCTATGCAGTTACCAATAGGCAAGCCATTTTCCGCAACATTGTAAACTATTTCTGTTGCTCCGGACGATGTTATTTTAGAGCATGACTTGAATGTGCAAATGGAATTCAGAAACAGTTTTTTCGTGGTGCTCTGATTCTGGTGGTGTCTCATGTTCGAATTTGAGAGCATGACAATGGGGAAATTCTTGTTTCGCAGCACTAATCAGTACTTTCGGATGAGCGGAATATTCAATATTAGTGTACTTAATGCCTCGACCTGTCTCTCGTTAGCTTTTCTTGTTTATGTTTTTTTTTCCGTCGTCCCTGAGCCGCCTTTACCTATTTGTCGTAGTCCGTAGCCCGTATCCCGGCGCTCTCCAAGATAAACTTTTGTAAATGAAATTGCAAAATATATTTCTTTTGCTAC